TTTTTGCTGAGCCAGAGAGTTTTATGAATTTAGTGTTGAGTTGTGATGCCTCTTTCACCAAAGCAGGATGTTTTTCTCTGCATTGGAACCCAAATCTGTAATTAAGTGCTAAAATCTCCATCACCAAGTGTCAGGGTTTCAAATCTAAAACTCCCAAGCTGGGCAGAGCGAACGATTGGACCATAGGGCGATTCCTGCTTGCTTATAAAGAAGAGAATGTTTCTGCTGACCAGCTAACCTCCTAATTGTGTGAAGGGGTTTACTGCATGCCTTGTGCAGGGCGGGCGGTTCGTGTGGCTGGGGCACCACAGCCAGTCCCCTCCCAAGCCTGGCCCGGCTCCTCCCCCTGTGCCTGTGCCTGTGCCGTGAGACCGGTAGCTAAACCATGTCGGGGACCCCTTGACACGACCAGCACCGTTCACGTCTGGGGCGTCCCCCCTTGGGTCTGCAGTGGGGGAGGGCTCAGCTGTGTGTCAGGCCTTCCTGCTTTCCAGCCGCACCCTGTGCTGCCCTGGCCATTTCCACGCTGGTGCTGGTGACTCCTGGGGGTGGTGAGTGCCGTCTGGGCAGAGGAGGCAGGGAGAAGCGAGCCCCGGGGACCCAGAGCTCAGGTGAGCTCGCGGCGGTGACAGGCGCTGTGGCCATGTGACAGGAGGGGGTGCGAGCTGTGCCCTATGTCTGAGGGGCTGCTCTTCTCTGGGAGCTGCTCTGTGAGTCAGGACCCCCAGGGGGCTCTGTGGGCCGCCGCTGGCTCCTCCCGCCTCTCCGTGCCTGGGTCGCCGCTCGGGAGGGGCACAGACTTGTTACAGGGACCCAGGGGTTGGCCCGGCCCTGCCGTCTCCTAGCCCATTACTCACCTGCAGGCCCCCTGTCTGTCAGATGGGGGTATGACCTTGGCGGCCCATTTTCAGGGCAGCGGCCCAGCACCAGGGGACGACCATCGCGTCACTGCTGCCTGGTTTGCTGTCCTGGTGGGCAGCCCTCATCAGCACAGCGTCCTGGCTTTGGGCCAGTCAGCCTGTCTGCTCCTTTGTAACACTGACCCTGCTGTCTTCTGGATGTGGGTGCTTGGGCAGGACATTTCTGCTTTTTACTGCCTAAGACAGCTTTTTGGATATTTCAGAGTTGCCATTACATCCCCATGTGGTTTTCTCCTTGGTAGGCTGAATATTCTCCATTCTTTTATTAATTCCCTGTATCCAGCCTTCCACCCACCCACTTACCTATCCATGCAGCCATCTCCCCACCTACCCATCCACCTACGCACCCACCCAGTCTGGTTGGGCTCCCAGACTCCCAGTGATTGTGCTGACTGTACAGTGCTGTTCACACTGTGTGGGAGGGCCGGCAGTCCCCCAGCCTGGTCATTCTGACCCCCAGACACCCACCAGCTTCTCAAGCCGTTTGCACGGGCAGCACCTCTGCCCTTGGGAACCTCTTCTCTAGGGATACTTATCTGTGGAAACAGACCTTAAACTAGGGCCTTAAACTCACTATCCCAATGGCTTAAACAGTATTTTTTCCTTATTGCAAAAATTGTTAATTGTGAAATTTGTGTTCCCTTTTTACTCTGTGCCCTTCTGCAGAAATCAGAGCCTGACAGGGTTGCACTCTGCCCCCCACCCTTTTTGTCCCAGGCACCCTTCTGGCAGTGTTCTTTGCATGCATGTGTATACTGACCTGCATAGGTGCAGTTTTTGATATAAATGGAATTTTTGATAAAGACGGGATTATTTTTACAAATGCTTTTTTAAACAGTAGTATGGCAGGGCAGAATTCTCCAAGAATTCACTTAAATCATCCCCCAAAGCCCGTGATCTAAGAAGGCAAGTGAGATATTTCACATCAAATGTCTGCTTTCACGTCCTGTGCCTTCATGTTCAGGTGTGGTCCACTCTGGGCCACTGGTCTTCTGCCCGAGGGTGTGGCAGTGCCTTCTCCGCCCCCGCCCGGCGCCCCTGGGGTGGCCTGTGCGTTTGTTGCCGCCTGCTACCTGAGGCTCTCTGGGGTCAGAGTGCCCACCTTTCTCAGTGGGTGTTCCCGGGGTGCAGGGCCTGGGCCCTGAAGGTAAGGTGAGGAAGTGGGCCTGGGTGTGGCTCTGAAATAGCATTACCTGTGCAGCTGTTGCTGTCCACTTGTGATCAGAGGTTAAAGTAACACAGAAAATTAGCTGAATTTCAGATGAAACAGGGACGTTTAAATTCCATTGCTTTTAATAATGTGGTTTGGCATAAATGTCACCTCAGAGAGACCCCTGTACCCTTCCCTGTCCTGGCTTCTAGTCCGGTCAGCCCTGCCCTGCTAGGGGGAGGGTGTGACGGGACTGCAGTCCAGGGAGCCGTGTGCATCCCCACCTCCCGTCACAGCGGCTGCCTCAAGGCAGCTTGTGGGGCATCTCCATGGCTGGGTAAAAAATAGCTGAGCCCCTGTCGCCAGGGCCCTGGGGGGTGTCTGCAAGCCCCTGTCGTGCTGGCCGTGTGGAGTCCTGCTCTAGGCCCTGCCCTCAGCTTGCAGGGTCCCTTTGATTTTGACCGTGGTTGACCAGCCTTCCTTCCTGCAGAGCAGCCCGGCTGCCCCCCATCATTTATGGGGCACACTTGTAGGAGCCAAGTCTGCCCAGTGAGGCGCCACTCCAGTCCTTGGGGGAGCTCCCTTGTGGGCCCCACTCAGGCTCCCCCACTCCTCCCACCCCATGCCTCAGAGGGGGCAGCGTGTACCGTAGGAGCCAGATGGGTGAGTTAAAGCCTGTCTGCCTGTGGGCCATCTCAGAGTCCTGACGTGAGGACTCCTTCTGGGCCTGCCAGGTGACCGAGCAGGTTAGCCTCCAACCCGCGGAACCTGCGCTGAGGTGCTGACTTTGCTCTCAGTTTGGGCAGGGCTACACCCCCCCAGGAACCTCAGGTGCCCCGCCTCCCATGGGTGCCCCCAGGTGCCAGCCAGGGGCCTGTCCCTTGGTTCTGACTGTGGCCGCAGCCAGGGCCTCCGGAGCCCTCTGTGCTGCCCTCTGTGTGCCGTCACCCATGTCAGCGTTTTCCCTGGGCGGGCGTGTGTTTATCTCCTTCTGACCAGGAGGGTCATTCCTGTTCTCTTGGCTTTTCGCAGACATATTAGCATAGGGGTTCTCCCAGCTGAATGCCATGACTTCATCACACTGAACAGTGACAAATGCCTGTTTTGCAAAATGACACCTAAAACAGCCTGCCGACATTTCCCTGGGTGAAATGATAAGCCAACCAAGCAGACCAGGAAACCCCATGGAGCCTTGCATCTGCCTCGCCAGCAGCCTGCCTCCTGCTTCTCCGCAGCCTAGGAGAGGGGCTCGGGGCCTCATCTCTGTCCCCCTGTGAGGATGGCTGAGGAAATGACTCGGTGCTTTGAAGGCCCTCGGAAGAGAGAGCGTGCTGACGGAGGGCCTCTCACGGGGAGTCCTCGTTGCCTGCTCAGTCCCCTAGTTTGGTGGCATGCGGATCGATTCCCCTGAAGCCACTCACTGACTGTGACTGGGCCACTCACACACAAGTCTGCGGGCTTGATCTTGCAGCAGGAAAGGCTTTGTGAGGAGTGGGCCTCACAGTGCGTGGGGACGGGCCCTCGGGAGACCTCGTTTCCGCATCTGTGAACTGGGGGAGATGATGTTT